ATTCATTGATTCATTCAATGATTTGTTGGTTGATTCAATCATTCAATCAGCCATCCAAACCAAAGTGAATTATATATGATTATATGAATGAATATAGAATAGAATAGAATAGAATAGAATAGAATAGAATAGATTGAATGAAAGACATCCTTGTTACTGATTTACAGATCATTAGTTGTGAGTAGTGTCTTGAGATTGTCAGTCATTTCTTATATAAGATATCATTCATTCATTCATTGATTTGATGGTATAATCATTCAAATATCCCATTGCAATTCACATTATTGGTCCACTTTATACAGATTTAACGATATTTCCTTGTCAACAATCCATCATTCATTCTTATGGTACAAAATATACATAATCACAGTATGCACTCAATTCAAATCGATTTTTGTAGGATTACTCATTCATTCATTCATTCATTCATTCATTCATTCATTCATTCATTCATTCATTTGTTTTCATTTCAGTGTTGAATTGCTGAAATCATATCGAATCCAACTCCAATATCACAATCAATCACATTCCCATTCATTTCGATTCTCTCTCATTCATTCTTCATTATCATAATCACGTATTACATTAATAATAAATAACTAATACATATCATTGAATGGATTAAGATCTTAAGCATTGAATACTATTTCTTCTTTTCTCTTTTCTTTTTTCTTTCATCCATTCATGGTACAAACCATCTCCATGCTATGCAATTTTTGTACATCCAACTCATATTCATTCAATAGATTGTGACCAATTACACAAATCATTCCAGTACTATTCTATTCACATATAGCATACAATCTGTGATAATATCTAGGAATCATTCAGTTCCAACCACTATATATCAATCATTGTGCATTCCAACTAACAATAACGGAATTTACTACAAACTCCAATCATTCATTCATGGATTGGTTATTCCAGTACTAAGTATCAACAGTATTGTTTCTGCTACTCAGAATTGGTTATTTTATGAAAATGGATTTAACAGAATCGAACATTGTGTTAAACCAATGAAATGACAAAATCGTGTTTGTCTGGATTTTGTTTGTTTTGAAGCAAAACTATGCATGATCTATATAATTCGTTTCAGGATGTACTAAAACAGATCCCTGTGAAATATCATCATTTCAGCTATTGTTCGTCATAATTTGTGAAAATGACTCCATTTCCATTGCTACTTCATACATATGTTATTTTCTACTATTCTATTACATTCTAGTATTGTTGTTTTCATTCATATTTGCCATTACTGATTATTCCACACTTACCTATCTTATTTTCACAGTATTCCATTCCATGGAGTATACTAATAAGCCAAAATATACTATCAATCACAAATACACATTATTCTATCTTTCCATACAGAATAATAATAATGATGATGATGACAAAACATCAACTATTCACAATCAATACTATTGAGAATAACTATTATGAAGACTCTTGTTTGTTAATATTGCTCATTCCTTCTCTCAGCTTAGAACACGAACTAACAACATTATTAGTTGTCACATTTAGAATGTGAATTCAATATGGGCTTTGATACAATTCATATCACACAATATGTACCAAAATGAAACACAACAATGCATATCTGAATAATCTAGTATTGATCAATTGTATGTTCAATATGACTAATGATTAACAGCAAATGATTATCGATATTTAGCAAAAATAAGTATCACTATTATAATAACTAGTGATAATGGTTATACGTTATTAATTGTTGCAACAATACATGATCCTGGTTATAGTATTGCAAGATTATCCAACTTTGTGTTGAATAGATTGAATAGGCATTATGAAACTGTGAGAAACATTATCCATTCACATCAAAAATCAGTTGTTTCGATTTGGAGTGTTATATCTAGTTTTGATACATGGATTGCCAATGATTATTCTCTAAATTAAGCATTTCTTCTCACTATTTCTAAAACTGAAGAAAGAATTGTTACTCCGAATTCGGATAATCATAGAGTGTCATTTCGGAATACTTATTATCCTCGTGAATCAATCGATTTTTGGTTACGAAATATTGTGTTTTAATCAAGTGACTCTAACATTTCAAATTGAAAATGATTCAGAAATAGTACAATATCGTTTATCATAAGGGAAACATATTGAAGATAAGATAGGTATTGATACAAATAACAATGTAATCGGCATGATATACAATTATCAAGCCCCACAATACATGTTCAAGTCTTTCCGTACATCTGCAATTCATATTAATTCAAGATATCTTAATAGTGTATATATAGAAGTGATTCTATTTGTGATAATCCATTATTTCCTTTTTAACAAAGATCAAGTATTCGTAGTATTGATTTGATTTGGTATTTGATCGATATTTACTCATCATAATGCCAATTTGAGCAACACCCATATATTTATCAAATGATATTTCGAATGGATTTGGTATATCTGAATTCCTAAGTACTGTAAAAAGTGTTGTAGGGATAAGAACGGTTTATCAAGAATCGTTCAAGAAGTCTCAACTTGTGAATTCATAGAAAGAAGAAATACTATCATCATTTAATACCAACAATCCATTCATTAAACACATAGTTACAATCTAATAGTAATATGTGGAACTGGAGGAAAGGCAAGAAAATAGTAGTCTTGGAAGCAGGCTTCTTAGGCAGGGTCTTTCTGTCTCTCTTGACCATGAAGAGAATGCCGAGAACCAGCAGAACAACACCGATGATGATCAGAACAATTCCGATCAAGAAGTACAGATCCAGCTTATCCTCGATACAATACGAAGTCGGAATCGCCCACGAAGCCGTAGCCTTGTCCTCGTTCAACACGCACGTTCGCTCGCTCACTCCCTTGTAGCCAGAGATCTGCGTGCAATCGTACGAATAGCTCTCGCTCGCGGCGGTTCGCGGGAAATCGGCCATCGCCGGGCAGTGAGGCACCTCCACAGTGATGTAAATCGTCACGTTGGTGCTGCCAGCAGAGTTGCTCGCAGTCACCACGAACTCCGTGCGATCCAAAGCCGTCGCCGAGGTTCCATAGATAGCACCCGAATCCGAGGCAATACCCATTCCCTCGGGCAGATCCGGCGAGATCATGAACGACTCCACCGTTCCGTTGTACATAGCGCTCAATCCCTCGTAGTTCACGTTGGTGGTAACCACAATCTCCTTCTCCTTGTAATCCAGATTGGTCGGCAAGTCCAGCACGCACTCGTCCATCTTCAGAATCGACAGTTCGCCATTGCTGCAAGTACGATACGCCACACCGTGGTAGTTCTCGGGGCAGGGCTCTTCGTAGCGCTCTCCGTCAGCCAGCGAGATTCCCTCCACTCCCGAGCAACCAATCGGCGTGACCGTGATGGTCACGGCCGCCTGGGCGGAGCCCGCGTCGTTGCTCGCAGTCACAGTGAAGGTGTAGGTGTCCGCCTCCTTGATCGATCCGGCGATCACTCCGTTGTCCAGCAGCTGCAGACCACTGGGGAGCGAGGGGCACGAGAACACGTCCACCTTGTTCGACACAGAGGGCTCGATGCGGATCGCTTCCAGCGAGTCGCGGCTCGTCGAAGCGGGCGAATAGGAGAAGCTGGAAGGAGCCAGCAGCGTGCATCCCTCGTAGTTGATGGGCTGGAACACGCCATTGACACACTCACGCGTCGCCATGCCCGAATAACCTTCAGGACACACAGCAGCCTCCGAGGTCGCTCCGTTCATCACAGCAGGGAACTCGTCCAGAGCCTCGCAGCCATTATCTTCCACCGTGATGCTGATCGTCACCGACTTGGATTCCGCGCTGTTGGTTCCGGTAATCTCGTACTCGGCAGCAGGCGAAGCCACAGTGGGCGTACCCGAGATGGTTCCGTCCGCACCCAGCACCAGACCCTCCGGCAGATCCTTGTTGCACGAGATCGAAGGGAACGCTCCGTCCGTCAGCAGCGAGATCGGGGTCAGTTCCTGGTTCGTCTTCAGCACGATCGAGTTCACTCCGTAGGTGAAGAAACCGCTCAGACGCGGCGTACAGTGCTCCAGACTGGGCTCCTCGAACTCGCCTCCCATGCAGCGAGCTATCGCGTAACCCGTGTAGTACTCAGGACACACAGCCACCGAGTACTCGCCGTGGTTCGTGGCCAGATACTCAGCCGTGGCCTCGCAGTTCACAACGATCGAGGTGAGAGAAATCTCGGTCTGCAGCGATCCAGCCGAGTTGGTCGCCGTGATGGTGTACTTGTTTCCAGTCTGCGTGCTCTGCAAAGCTCCGGAAATCACTCCAGTGGTGGGATCGAGCGTCAGATCGGCAGGCAGCTCGGGAGCCACGCTGTAGGACTCGACCGATCCGCTGACCGTGGGCTCGAAGGACTGCTCCTTCTGGTAGATGATGGTCACTTGGTTGTTAATGCCGTAGACCACAGCGATGGGAGGCAGCAGCGTGCACTGGTTGTCCTCTTCCTCCTCCAGCTGGTTGCCCGTCGGCGTCGACACGCAGTTACGATAGATGAAGCCAGTGTAAGTAGTAGGGAAATGGCGCATAAAGCGCGAAAATTTTTTCGGCCCTTTTTCGGCCAAAGTTGCCCTTCAGACCCCCTCAATTGCATGCCGGTTGTCCAAAGTCACCCCTCAGACCCCAACTTCCATAGCTCATCATGACTCACGTTGGTCAACCTGTAATTTTTGGCTTTCATAAGAAATAAGGGTCGAAAAAATAACCTTAGCCTGCTCGGCTACCTCGAGTACCATGGCGCATAAAGCGCGAAAAATTTTTCGGTCCTTTTTCTGCCATTTTTATTCCTGGCCTTCTATTTCTACCTGGCTACCTCTATGGCCACGACGCAAAAAGCGCGAACCCTTTTTCTGCCAATTTCTACTAGATTACCCTTTTAGACCATTGCTACCCATTGCCCACCTCAGAGACCATGGCGCAAAAAGCGCGAAAACCTTTTCGGCCATTTTCTGCCAATGTGGTAATTGTCTGCCCTTTATACACTGTTTGATAAAGAAAACAAAGTAAAAACTTCTCCTTTACATGTCCTTCAATCGGTAATGTCCAAACGCAAGTGTGTGTATGTTGTCGTCCAAGATCCATCGTTTGTTATCCGTGCACGTCATAAGGGTCTTGGTCTGTTCCTTCGTGCTGATATCGAAGGCCTGGTTGTTGATGCGCTTGAAGCTGCCTTCGATCACTGCATCTTCCTTCTTCTCTGCCTCAAGGACACGCTTGTACAAGTCGATGTTCTTCACACTCATCCTCTCACCATCGATCACCACGTTGCGAGGAACTCCCTTTGCTGCGTTGTGTATCACATGCTTCTCATCAACCAAGCAGTACATCTTCGGTCTAAGTCCCACGAACTCCGTGATGCGATGTCCGTTGTGCTCGTCCTTGAAGATCGGACCAGGCAACTTCTTGTTGAAGTTGAGGAACGAGTCCAATGAAGGGAACTTGCTCTTGTCCACTTCATGCTCGTAATAGTTCACGAGTTCACCATAGAAGTAGCTCGTGTTATCCAATTCCGAGAAGTCGAACGATTTGTACATGTCGCACATCTTGTGAACGATGTTAGCGCGATCGTGCAGTTGCACGATGAGCGAGTCCGTGTCTTGTCCCAACAGCTCCACGTTATCGAATGTGTTCTTGAGCACATTGTAGTAGAAATCGTAGATGATGTGCTTGGACATGTCCAGAATGGCAAACCCGATAAAGAATGGCTTCTCCACCCTGCGCACCGGTGTATTCAGCTTGATACCGATAAGATTCTCGGAATACATGGTAGTCCCGGCGATTATGTCATACCCATGCTTCTGCATGATTGCCTCACGTTCATTCCATGTGTTAGCGACACTGTCACTTTCTATCCGTTTCAACCCAGTCTCCACGAATTTGCCATAGGTGGAGTTTGCCAACAGCTTGTACAGGTTCTTCTCCACAGTGGTCTTGGACTTCGCTCGTTTCTCACTCAGCATGTTCACATATTCGAAGATGAACGGTGCCTGCTTGAATCGAATGATGTGGTGAATGTGCGTGACACGATATCCCTGTTGAATGTCCAGTTGCAACAGAGAGTAATGCACGAGATACTTTTGACGAGGTACAAGATCGCAGATGAGCTTCGGTGTATTCACCTCTTTCACTTTGTCCACAATGTCGTTCTTCTCAGCGTACTTCTTGATTCCATCAGAGTACATGCCCGCCTTCTGTACGGGAAAGAATGGCAAGTCATTGAACTTGTCGTGGAGTTCCACTGGTGCCTCGATGTCACACTCGATGAAGAATCCATACTTACCGAACGTCTTGAGTGATTGAACCCACCCATTCGGGTCACGATTGATCTTCTCCATCACTTCTCGTCGCTCAGGTACACCCACCAACTCGTAAGGCATCATTCGATGCATGGCTCCACCGTACAGGTTGTTGGCGTCCAGGTAGTAGATGCCTTGGGACGACGTTGCTTGCTCCTTGTTGTCAATGTTGACCTTGGCATGTCGTTTCACGATCTGTGTGATACCTCCTCGCAGGTTCTTCAACAATCGCATGAAGTCATCGATATCATTTGTCTCCATCAATCGAATGCCCTTGCTTTCATAGAATTCACCCATGCGATTCAAGAACACTTTCACCAGTTGTTTCTCGGCGAGACCCTCATTCGCGTTGATGCGCATGATGTACTGAGCCCATTTCCTTGCGAGGGTCATAAGGCTACTCTCACTATGATCGCCCTCCATTGTGACCTTCAAGAATAGCGAATATGCCATTTGCGGTGCTGTGATGTAGTGCATTGGATCAACACCGAATGCATTCAGTGTGGTGTTTCGGAAGTGTTCGAATGCATCAGCCATGAGAGTCACATCGAGTACATTGTACAATTCGTAGTATTCACCCCATGTCTTGATATCGAAGGTCTTCCACAGCTTCACCATGTGATCATACTCGTCTTGAGGCATCATTTCTCCCTTCATATCATCAATGCATTGCTCGCGAGAAGGAATGACGGTATTGTTCAATGTCTCGTATGATTTGATGAGACTGTAGAACATTGGTTCCTTCCGTGTCAACAAATCGATGTATTCATCATTCCATTGCTTGCCTCGAGACTCGCAATACTTGCGTAGTTGTTGTTTGGTGTGCACATAGAGGTCCAAGTTACCTCCAAGTGTCTGTGCCACAATGGAACGCAGTGGACTGCTGATGAGCTTCAACGAGTCCTTGAATTGAATGCCATTGTATTCGATCTGCATTTCCTTGTCCTCGGTGGTTGGAATGACTTCGAGATTCCCGCCAGGCATCGTCGCGATGAGCTTCATGATGAATGTGAAGTCGTAGTGCGATCCATTGTGGAAGTAAACTGGCAGACGATAGTTCTTCTTGTTGAATGAGAGTTGTAGGTTACACTTGGTGCAACAGGTGCAGATGTACTGTCCAGCTTCGAAATGGCGTACTTCTCCCTTTCCTGTGGTATATTCACCTGCCACATGTGCATGATGTCTAACCTTGTCATCCTCCAGTTTCTTGCGACAGAAGGGACACACGGTTGCTGAACGAAAGTCCTTCTCGACCTTCGATGTGCTCTCCAATGGCAATTCATCGAAGAGATATGTTTTCACACTCCCTTGCAATTGTGTGAGATACTCCATGAAAGGACGAAGCTCTTCTTCGCTTTCGTGTGGTGCATGAAAGACTCGTAGCTGCGTATCAATGGCAGGGATACGAGACACGGCTAGACAGGATAACATGATCGGCTTATGTCTGTTCTTGTCATCAATGGCTGACTCGAAGTCAGCGTACACGACGACCAGTGCTGGCATTTCGTATCTCTGGTTTGTGAATCGCAACCGAGTCTCCTCGTTCGACAACTCGTACTCTTCGCTTTCATTGACGAGTTCACGATGTACTTGTACTTCGTGAGCATGAACGGCTTTGTGAGATCCGAAGAAGTCGTCACAGAACCTGCACTTCACGTTTCTTGCTGTATGTCTATTCTTCACATCACTCTGACGAAAGATGCGATGCTTGAAATCGCTCAAGTCCTTGATGTACAAGAAATGCTTGGGAATTTCTTCCCCCTCCCGTGTATCATTCACGATGCAAAGCGACACACATGGGGCAACTTCGTTGCCCCGGGAACAACTTCGTTGCTCCCCACATCCACTCTTCCTTTTCGGCTTGTACACTTGATAACACGTGAATAGATCGTATTTATCCTCGGAGTTGTCATCGTATCCAGGTAAGAGTGTGACCTCGAATACGTTGAGAGAGACTTTCAACAGTTCTTCCAATCTCGCAAAATTCTCTTCACTCGCGTTGAAGGGTGCATTGTCGCGAATGTTCATCGCCTCCTCCACCTCGTGAATTGTCATCCCGAATACCTTGTTCTTGTCGGGTTGCTTCCACCACTTGTTGTACACACTCGCATCGCCCATCTTGCGATTTGCAATAATCTTGTGCCCACCTTCACTTGCCAGGATGAGACACCGTTGCAGACATCGGTTGTCATTGATATTCGGGTTGACCGCCGTCTGTCCAATGATATAAGGTGTGTGGTGCTTGTAGCCCACGAATGTACGAAGTGGGAACATCTCGACATGGAAACCGATCCACCCATGGTACACGAACCCGCTTCCCTCTGTCTCCTGTTCCTCTATACCATTTCGGTACCATTTCAAATAGTCCTTGATCCACTCATCGATACGATCTCGGCGAACGATGCGGAGGTGTCCCAATCGATCATCGGTGAGGTTGAGTATCTTGGGATCTCCATCATGTGTCAACATGAGATTGTATGCCATCATGGTGACGAAACACTGGTTGTACTCGCGCATACCAGTCATGATAAACTTCTTCACGATCTCATTGAACTCCTCGCTTTCATCGAATACGAGGTTGATCGGTTCCACTTCCTCATCGCCCTTTTCACCCGGTAGTCGAACCCACAGTCTCTTGTCATCATCGTTATTGAGGCGGAAGTCCTTCTTGGTGCGCTTCTCATTCATCCATTCCTTGTACATATCTCCTTCCACGGTGTGATAGTACGTGAGTGCATACCCGAGTGACGAGTTGATCACGTCCGACAAGCGCCCTTCGGCCACTTTGCGATCGAACCGAGCGAAGAACTTGTTGCGACGTGCTTCACGTCTCTTCTCCACCGTGTTCATGAACTCAGGCAACGGACGACCTCGCTTGTCACCGAATTCATGTCCGTTCCATTCATACTCAAGAAATCGCTCGTTCCATGTCTTGCTTCCAACAATCAGATACTTATGCTCTCCTTTGGGATCACTGACGCGCCTATGTGTCACTCGTCTGTTAGGTGTTACTTGTTTCAGCCCGAATACCTTGTTCGACAGATACGCTCGTGAATCAGGAATGGTCTGATCGGTGAACTTCCCATCGATCATATAGTACTTGGCTGCTAATCGTTTCCAGATTTGACTCCCAACCTTAATCTTTCGTCCAGTCTCAGGGTTGATAGTATATTCGTCGCGATAAGAATCCATTTATATATAGGCGACAAATTCTTTAAGTGACCAAAGTGAAAATGGTGTGACTTGGAAAACAGTTATGGAATTTCCGACCTAGAAGAGGGGCAACGTACGTTGCCCCGGGATGCCGAAGGCATCCCTAGAATGGGAAAATCGCATGGCCATCTTCGTCATATTCGAATTCATCGATGTCGACATACTCAGACTCGGACGACGAATCGTCTGAATCGTCGTTTGCGAATATCTTGTTGATGTCTGGATCATTATCGTATGCTTTGGCTTGTTCTTTCGTCATCTTCACCCATTTGCCACCTCGTGGTCTAAAGTTGTCACGGAGTAACTCGTAGTATGCTGTGCCACCAATAATCATGGAGCGATTGCTGGGAGAAAGCATTCTCGACTTGGGAACGTACTTCGTCGTATCCGGTGGTAATGGTTTGTCGTACAAGCGATTCAATTTCTCGTCGTACTTGAATCCATGCTTGAGAAGGTTCCAGAAGCGAACTCCGTTGATTTGAATTTCTCGTCCTGTATTGGGGTTCAATGTGTGAGTAGGTCTATTCATTTATATTTATATATATATTTCCCTTTTAATCCTCGTTATCCCCTTCCTAAATGAAGTACAAGAAAACAGAGAACAACACATGGTCATCCCTGGTACGCACCTGTGAGGACGAGAATATCGAACTCGCCGATATCATCATCCATACCAAGTATCCGATCAATTCCGAGCATCTATTCGGCTTCAGTGTTTGCACCCCGCAAGCAAATGTGAACTGTGGTTTAATATTGCACGACTATGATTGCATCGAGATGACTCTGGATGAAACTCGTCCGCCCTTGTTTACCGAGGATGAATGGGAGTATCTATTGCCTCAATTGGAATCCAACGGTCTGCTCGGTGTGCCTCTAAATGTGTTTTGGAGGGGCGATGTAGGGAGCAACGAAGTTGCTCCCGTGGCACGCAGTGCCCCCAACTCACTGCCTCCTCACATCATCGGTGTAATGACCGAGAATCGTGCTGTTTACTTCTTCTCCAACTACTATGTACGCGTGGTCTACAAAGTTGTGGATGATGAAGTGCCTCCCGAGTTGTCCGATCTGTTCATCGATGATGGCGCGTGTCTGAAGGGTGTGTACGTTGCGTGCATACCAAAGACCAAAGTAAATAAGTAAATGTCGTACATCTTCAGCAGCAATGGAAACAACTACACGTTCAAGAAGCTCGATAACATGCTCATCAACATGCCAGAGAAGGACGGTCATCATGTGCTAATTCGAGAAACAGTGGATGGCGTTCCTCAGTATTCGTGGGGCAGTGCTTCATGCATCGTGAAAGCGAACGAAGCATTTGTCTTCGAGTACACACCAGAAGCTACCGAATCATTCAATGGCGAGTGGGGTGGTGATGGTATGCCGCCTATGCCGTCCGGATCGTACCTGGTGACCACGAATGTCATAACGTACCTTCCTGAAGACATGTTCAACGATTGCGACTCAATCGAATCTGTGGTTGAAAAGGGTTATCGAGTGCTAGTCACGTTTGACAATACGCCTATCCTAGACAGACCGTACATCGATACATTGAATAGTCTTGTATCTCATACTGGTTATGCTGTTGTAAATGTTGGTTCCTCTCCTGTCCTTCGTACGTATTCGAATCTTCCTATCATGCTTCTAGGTGGTGTGAAGAGCATCACGATCGTTTTCGAACACCTGGGCGAGGTTGTTTCTTCTTCTGGCTCCTCGTAATGGGTCGATGTGATCTTGCTGCCTCTCTCAATGCATTGGGTTCCTTTCGACTCTTGGATCGAGTGACAGGCGGTGCTGGTTGTGGTTTGCATTTGCTTGCCAGCAGTTCCCAGTGATAGCACTTTTGGGTGCGATTGTTTCCATCTTTCACTTCGTACATCAGTGGCATGATGTGATCGTCAATATCAACAATATCAACCAAGTCCTGAGACCATTTGCTTGTCAATGATCGCTTTTCCAGAATGCGAGGTCTTCGTGTCACTCCAACATAATCACCAACATTGAATTGAGGTGTTGTGTCCTTTGCTGTCATGTTGGATGGTTCTGTTTTCTCCGTGTACAAGATGTTGTTGTTAAGTCAAATGTCATTGGGTGTATATCCAGTGTCTCTGTTCTTCCTTGCATTGTGTCTACGAACTGTACCATCGATCAAGTCGAACCATACACCTTTCCATTGATTGAATGGAAGGAAGGAACCATGATGTGTTCCTTGATATCTCGAATTGTTCGTTCGGCTAGTACTGCTTTATTCGCTGAATCCATGTGATACATGGTGATGTCATACTTGTTCAAGATGTTGGTACGAAAGATGGCATTGGTGAACTCGGTACCTCGATCCGAGCAAATATGCTTTGGTGACCCGTATGTTTGAATGATATCCTTCATCGCATGCGTGACTTCTGTAGCACTCTTGCTTTTCAATCGCCGAGCCATCAGGTATTTCGAATATCCATCAATACATACAAGGACGTACTTGTATCCACGATTCTTGTGGAATCCTGTGGACTTCTGACTGCCCAACACTTCCTGTATCCATTTGTGTTGTTTGGAAGAGAAATCGATGAGATCGATGAAGTATATGTTTCTCTTGAAGCCACTGATGATCACTCGAGTGGCGCCTCTTCGTTTTGCTGGCTTGCGTAGTTCCTTGATCTCGTTCATAAATGAACCGCTTTATTCAATGGTTGAAAGGGATATGGAAATGGATGAATAAGAGAAAAAACCACAAACTGGTTATTGACTCGAAATGCAAGGACAGATGTCACTGCCTGTGCGTGTATAACGAGAAGAATGAATCAAGTGACGACAGTGGAAGCGACATATCGATCAGTCCAACAGAGATTAAAGTGAAATAATGTATTCATAAATAGAAATGAATTTATGGATGACATCGGTTCGAAAGCAGATCGCGCGGCGATACGTGCATAACATGATCAACTCATTTGTCGAAGATCCTAATAGTGGAAATTACTATGAGAACTATGATCCTCCTTATGTGTCGTTCTACTCACCTGACATTGGACGACTTCTCGAGAAAGCATGCCATGATGACAAGTACTCCGTATGTCATCCCCAGTTTGATGTATTGCACGATCCTCACAATGAGATCTATGATATCGATG